TTACTAAATAGAATAATCAAACGAAGGTTGGTAATGAACGATAATACTTAGGACAAGAACAACACATATAAGATTCGCCAGCGTCGCGTAGTAGTAGTCAACTGTTAGAAGTCAGTCAAGTGAATTCCACAATGCATCTCCAACTGTAGGATATTTACCAACAACTCCACGTGGTGAAATGTGGCACACAGCCGAATTTAATGTGGGTCATTTGAGCCCGTAGGCTCGGCCGAAAATTCCCAGTAGTCCTCGTATAAAACGGATTCGGGTAGCTGATTACCCAGACGAAACTCTGCCCTTCGACATAGCCTCGTCTGGGGATCCTCTCTGCCCGGAGGCAGAGAGTATGAGTAGTATGGAGAAGTTCTTGAGCTGACTTCCGACGTCTGTCGAACTCTCTGCGTTAGCAGAGAGGAACCCGGACGAGGCTTTGCCGAAGGGCAAGGTTTCGTCCGGGGAGGTAGACAGGGCCTGAACCCGTCTAATCGGCTTCAAAAGGCTATTTTTTTGGCCGAGCCTACGGGCTCGGAGAAACCCACAATAAAACCGGCCTTGTGCCATATTCGTTTCCCGTGGGTGAAATGATAAATACCGAGAGTATGACTAGCACAGCTGGAGACGAATCTCCAACTGCAGGATAATTACCAACCTTCCTACGCGGTCAGATGTGGTACAAGTCCGAATATAAAATGGGGTCTCCGAGCTCGTACGCTCAGCCAAAAATTCCCAGTAGACCCCGTATAAAACGGATTCGGGTAGCTGATTACCGAGACGAAACTCTGCCCTTCGACATAGCCTCGTCTGGGGAACCTCTTTGCCCGGAGGCAGAGAGTTTGACCGCACAGATGGGGAAGAATCTCCAACTGAAGATCAACATGCAGACTTTTCCTACTGTATTTATGTGAATGCGGACATACACATTATTGTCCGTAGGTATGTTACAAATAGGGGATTATTATCTTTGGATTTAATTTAATCTGTTGATTTTTGCCATTTCTAAGATCCCAGGATTTATTTATTATTTCATGAAATCAACCGGTTAAGGAAGAAATCCCGAGAAAAACGAATGTAAAAATGAAAAAAAAAATAAAAATCTGTAACATTTTATTAAAAATTTCGTATAGACATATAATATATTCTCCCATTTTTCAATGTTGTCAGCGTTTGTTTTTCATCATTACCTATAATATATATATATATATATATATATATATATATATATATATATATATATATATTTCTTAGCAACGTCGAGCTTGGTCTATACGAATATTGCTTTGACCACTTGGGAATACCATGTATTGTAAGACTGGATATGATTGATGTAATATAATATATAATGGAATTAGTTGGAGTGCTGAGTTATCCAGGTGGGTTCGATATAGTCACGCGCTTGGGAAAGGCAGGAATCCACCTCTTCTTCCTCTGACTATGGATTAATTAATAAGACTTGTATCACTAAATCATTATTATCAAAAATAAAATAAAAGTCTTACAAATAAATATTTTCCGGTTTTAAATAACACTGTTCTGCGTTAAAAATGTTTTCCAAATATCAAAGGTTTATCAAGTGATAAATGATCGTCATGTTTTGCTGAATTAAAAAATACCATTCATTATGTATGGTCAAGTTTGGTTTTTAAGATGCGCCTGAATACGTCACAACATGATGTACATAATAATAACACTTATTCAAAAAGCCTGTGGACTCTACTTGTCACAACTAATCGTCGGTGCCTGATGTTTAGTATAGCATATAATGTTCGCTGTGTACCTAACTACAGTGTACCACCCTACTCGCTAACACAGACATACCTAGAGTGGAAGTGCTTACCCTTCAGCTTAAAAGTATTGTGATGTACTGTATCAAGTGTCAAGGACGAGCTGAGTGCTGATTCATTTTTTTCAGCTCGAAATTTGTATTCCTGTAAGAACGTGAGAAATAATCCTGACAGGTTCTGCTATATCTGCGGTAATGGGGTTCTTCCTAACCGTCAATCAAAAATCACTGACTTTGTCACTACTTTGGAGTCAAACTAGGGGATCAGAATAAGTCATTCGTTCCGCTCGTTTGCTATAAAATATGTATGGAGAAGTTGAAGGATTGGAGGAATTTTAACAGTAAGAGTCTACCATTTGCTATTGCCAATGGTCTTGAGGGAAGGAAGGAATCACATTCCGGACTGCAATTTCTGCATGATAAATCTAAAAGTAATAAGTCACAAGGTCAAGCACCATGTCCAATATCCCGATGCTCCTTCTGCCATAAGACCGATCCCTTAGGGCCCAGTTCATGAGGCAGATGATAACATGGAATATATATCTCTGATTCCGAACATAGTGGCATGAGTGCTGTAGCTGGGGATGACGCATACAAGACAGAAGAAGATGACCAGCGAATACCCTTGACACAAGCAGAACTCAACCACCTGACACGAAACCGGAATCTTTCAAAGGAGTCTACTTGTCTGCTGGGTTCACGTCTCAAAGAGAAGCATCTGTTGGCACCAAGAACAAATTTCTACTGGTATCGAGACCTTGAGGGAGAATAAAGTCAATTTTTCATGTTCCGGGATATGTCATCAGTTTGTTTTGCAACAACATGTCTGGATTGATCAAATCAATGGACTTAGAATATAATGCTACGGAATGGAGATTATTTATTGACTCATCCAGTAGAATTCTCAAAGCAGTTCTACATAATGAGAATAGTTTTTAATCTATCCCTATTGGGCATTCAGTACAAATAAAAGAAACTCACAACAGCATCAATCATTTGTTGTCTGCTGTTAAGTACCAGGAGCACAAGTGGTTGATCTGTGGAGATTTTAGCGTTGTTGGACTGGTCTTGTGGTTCCAATGTGTGTACGCAAAGTATCCTTGTTTTCTAAGTCTCCGGGACAGTCGGACTGACGACTAAAATGATGTCAGACAATGGTTAAATCCTGGCTTGCATAACGTTCAGTCTCACACTCTCGTTGAACCGAACAAAATACAGCTTCCACTATTACATATCAACTTAGAAGTAATGAAGAATTTTGTGAAGGCAATGGACAGGGAAGGCAGCGGGTTTGCTTTCCTTCAGGAGAAGTTCTCACGGAAAAGCATGGAGAAACTCAAGGCTGGTATATTTGACGGCCCTCAAGTAAGAGAACTTGTGAAGGACCCAATGTTTGATGAAGTAGAGCGAAGCTGAACTGTCCTCCTAGAAGTCACTGAAGTCAATAGTTACAAACTACATTGGAAACCACCGGGGTGTGGAATACGCGAAGGAAATTGAAGATCTATGAAGAGTTTCCGCCAATTCGGGACACGAATGTCAGCCAAACTGCACTTTCTGCAGTCACACTTGGACAATTTTCCAAAGAAATGTGGAGATTTGAATGAAGGGTAGGGTGAGCGCTTTCACCAAGAAATTCACATTATGGAAGAGCACTACCAAGGCCCGAGGGATGGGAAAAACTATCGCTGCCTACAGCTGGTGCTTGAACGGGATACGGTAGCTGCCGAGCTCCGGAGGAACTCCCTGAAAAGACCTTTCATCAATGAATAGGTTCTTTTGCGTATTATCTTAAAATCAGTCAGTCAGTTATGTGTCATGCGTGATACACGCTTAGGAGATCATGTATCTTTCAATACATGACTGACGAGGCAGATTTTTTTTCTCGCAGTAGTTTACCATTTATTTTTTGTGGTAGACCAGTTGACATCCAAGGCTATAGAATCCGGTCTGTCCTGCTTTTTACCCATTGCTGGGGGAGGGGAGAAGAAGCGGATTCATACCTTTCCCAACGATATTAGCACGTAGGTGAATGTAATGGATTCGATTGGAATTCGAACTCGGCTCTCTGATACCTCGCTCCGAGCCGCCTTTACCAGTAATCATTATTATCTCCAAAAAATTCTTAAAATCGAAAAATATTTATGGCTTTAAATAAGCTGCAAACATTTGATAAACCATAAAGAATGCAAATCACTCAATTAATCATTGTTATTCTTCTGTTATTTTACCTTCTTCTTCTTCTTCTTCTTCTTCTTCTTCTTCTTCTTCTCTTCCTCCTCCTCCTTCTTCTCCTCCTCCCCCTCCTTCTTCTTCTTCTCCTCCTCCTCCTCCTCCTTCTTCTTCTTCTTCTTCTTCTTCTTCTTCTCCTCCTCCTCCTCCTCCATCTTCTTCTTCTTCTTCTTCTTCTTATTATTATTATTATTATCATTATTATTATTATTATTATTATTATTATTATTATTATTATTACTTCTTGTCTTCTTTTTCATTTATTTTTTCTGTTTCGCCCTTTACCAACTTAATCTGGTGCTGCGCGTTGTTGACTTTGCTGAATTCATCTCTTTTTCCCTTGAGCTCTGGGTTAACTATTAAGACATATCGCTAAATCCGTCTTATCACAAAAATATTACAATCTAAAAGTTTATTTTCTGGCCTTAAATAATCTCTAAAAGGTTGATTAACGGTAGAAAGGGAATCACTCAAACAATCTTCCATTCTTTGTTCATTATTCTTTCATGAATTACTTGTTCTGTTTATCTACTTTTGCGCTTTTTTTTTATTTATTTACTGAGCATTTCTTGATTTTTCCTCAATCATCATTCAATTTCTAATCCTTTTTTTCTACTTATTTTTCTTCCTATTTTCTTCTTCTTCTTCTTCTTCTTCTTCTTCTTCTTCTTCCTCTACTACATCTACTACTTCTTTTTCATGATTCTTCTTCTTATTCTCATTGCTGGCCAGTACTTTAATATTTCTTTCTGATTTTCTGCCGCATCTTTCTTTTATTTTTCCTTTTTTTATTGAACTATTTATTTCCTTTATTTGACTTTCTCTCTTCGACTTCTTCTTCTTCTTCTTCTTCCTCCTCTTCTTCTTCTTCTTCTCATACTTATACTTCTTATTCTTCTTCTTATTATTATTATTATGCTTCTTCTGTTTCTGCTTCCGTTTCTTTTTTATTCTTCTTCCTCTTTTAATTCCTCTTCTTCTTATTATTATGCTTCTTTCTTTCTTTCCTTCTTTCTTTCTTTCTTTATTTCCTCCATTCTTGTTCTTTTTCTTCTTCTTCTTCTTCTTCTTCTTTTTCCTCTTCTTCTTATTATTATGCTTCTTTCTTTCTTTATTTATTTATTTATTTCTTCCATTCTTGTTCTTCTTCTTGTTCTTCTTCTTAATATTATTATTATTATTATGCTTCTTCTGTTTCTGCTTCTGCTTCTTTCTTTCTTCTTCTTCTTCTTTTTCTTCCTCTTCTTCTTATTATTATGCTTCTTTCTTTCTTTCTTTCTTCCATTCTTTTTCGTCTACTTCTTCTTCTTCTTCTTCTTCTTCTTATTATTATTATTATTATTGCCGTTATTATTATTCTGCATCTTTCTTCTTCTTTTTCTTCTTCTTGTCCATTCCTTTCATATTTCTTTCTGTTCGTCTGCATCTGCTTTCATTTCTTTTCTTTCTTTTGTCGAACTATTTGATTTCTTTATTTCACCATCATTCTTTTTTTTCTTTTTCATCTTCTTATTTCGTGCCTATTTCTCTGCTACGTGCCATTCTTTTTCCTTCCTTTTATAATTGGTTCGTTCATTCTGCCTCGATGTACTTTTCCTTCCACTGTGACATGTTCTTTCTGTTTGTCGAATTATTTATTTTCTTTCTTCTTCTTCTTCTCCTTCTTCTTCTTCTTCTTCTTCTTCTTCTACCAATTATTTATAGACGCTGATTTTACATACGTATACAAATGCCCACAATACACTCGGGTTTTCCTCAGCATTCTTGCTGATTTTAGTAATTCTATCGCCAGGACAGTTTCGATTTTTCTGCAGGTCTCCAATTCCCCCAATCCCAGGTCCAAGCACTTAAACATTGTTCCAAGATGGCGACAATGGCGGATACATCAGTCGAATTCATGTTCCATTATTTCTGCAAATCGCTAGAAAGTGCAGACTGTTTTCCAGCTTTACACTTTATTTAGTTTTACGCGTTGGCCTTTTATATCCTCTAGAAAAATTATTTAACAAATATTCACCTTTGTACAGGGTCAAAAGATCTGGTTTCTTGGCCTGTTGTGGGAAAAACGGTATAATTTCAAAACCCTGGTATAAGTTCAAAACTCCAGTACATTTATTTATATTCAGTATATATAATTTAATGAAGGGATATGCTTTGACAATAAACTTACTTGTATTGTCAATCAGAGCGAGTAAGAAGAACAGTACTAAACGAAGCGAGTAAACCACATGGTAACATAAGGTAATTTCAAAAAGAATTATAAAATTATAAATCTTCCGTTTTAAATAAAATAATAATTTTAGTATTGCAATAATATGAAATAAATATACAATTCAATCACTTCTACAATCATTTGGGCAGGTTTTGTGTTGATATAAAAATGTAATGATTAAAAATTATAATATATATATTGCTAGCAAACTGGGTTTTCAGAATTTTTCTATGACATATCATACACATATATATTAATATATTTTCTTTTTATAAGTTATTTTTATGGATACACCTTATTTAATTAAATGCTCTGTTTTAATTAGACAATATTAATTACATTTACCTGTGTGATTGTTAGAGACATTTCGTAGAAAATATGCATTCTCTGACAGAAATCGAACCTGTCTCCCATGCGGAAACCGTCATATAGCCTGACGTGCTGTTAACCATTCAGCCACGGAGGACTTTCCGGTTAGCAAAATCCAAATTACTGTTTACAAACATACATCTATGTGATGATATCCGTATGGGATACATGTTCGATTCCTCTCGGAGAACGCGTATTTTCTAAGAACGTTCAGGCCGGTCAATGCAATTAATACTGTTTAATCAAAACAGAGTATTTACTCAAATAAGTTGTATCCATAAAAAGTACGTATAAACAGAAAATATATTAAACCATTTGTTGGATTTAATTAATTTCATTTTGTTGTCATTGTTGTCCTTAGGGAACTTTTCGGAGCCGAATTGATATCTTTGAAAATTGCCTTGCTCATTAGACTTGAGTTACTTATAGATAAGAAGTTCTACTCAAATAACCTCTTCCCGCCAGCCACTGCTCTGTGGAACAGATACCCAAGAGGATGTTCTCCTGATCACTACAATCTTAACCTGTTAAAGTCTAGAGTCAACTGCTATCTTTCCCTCTTATGTATATAAATAACCTCTTAATGTATCCCTATCTCGATTGGTCCCCGGGCCTTGTACATAGGAAACTTGACTGTAAAAAAATAAAAAAAATAAAAAATAAGGAAAGTTGATTCTTTATATGCACTTACGTGAAAATAACCTTGGAAAAGGTATGGATCTCCATCCCACCCCAGCTAGGGCAATAATGATTGTAATTCTCAAATAATTGTTAATGCAATATTCACTTTGCAAAACTAATAAAAAAAATGAATTCTTACAATTTAAAATGTGTTTAGACTTTAAATAAATGGCTGATAAGCCGTAAAAAATCAATATATAAATCTTAATTACTACAATCTTAACATCTTCCATGTTAGGATCAACTGTTATATTTCCTACATATCCTCAAAAGAAGCATTTCATCCTCACTTCCCTTCTCGTTCATACAACGCTGTCATTCAGTAACCATCTATATTGTCTAACTTTTCAGTCTTATAATGTATGATCAGTTAGTAAAAAAAAATGATATAAATTTTAAAATAAATTTTCTCTTTCTCAGAATAATCAAAATGAATGTGTATTGAACACTTTTTATACTACTGTTTCCTTTAACCATTAAACTTTATATATATATATATATATATATATATATATATATATATATATATATATATATATATATATTTGTGTGTGTATGTGTGTGTGTATGTGTGCGTTGCACATAGTGTTTCCATAACGGTTGTAAGACAGTACACAATGACAGATTCCCAACATTATTCAGTGCCACTTTTCATCAGGGCTTTCTGTACTTATCAAAAATGCTTTCTAGAGGCTCCACACTGTCGGATCCGGTGAACTAATTAACGTGTTACTGCACTAATCTGCATCCTTTTTCTTGATCCACGGTGGAAATTCTTGTTTCAGGTTTTTTTTTTATCCTGCTTACAAGCTACAATCAGAGTTAATTAATGACCCGTTTGATCGGTTCATAACTACCTTAATGAAACTGAAAGTAGAAAAAATATGTAATAGTCGTTTTGTTTGGTTTTACTGAATATAGAAGAAAACAGCAAATCTTCAGCGTTGAC